TGATTGGAAACCAATTGGATATTTATTTGTCAAGTTAGGGTTTGTTGATTCTAAATGATTAGTTAATTAATACTTTTCTAATTTAATTAACGACTTTTAGAACTGAAAGGGGAGAAGTTGCAGACCTTCACGAGACAAATGATTTTGCAATTGAATAGTTTATGGGTTTTGGATTGAAATACATGTTTGTCGATGACCCTTCCCTTGTTACGAATAGTTATTGGGATTGGGTAATTGGCCGGGGTTGTATGCTCAATTTGCTCATCTATGTTCGATCCCTTGTTATGAAGAGTTATTGGGAGCGCACCGCTAGATGTTTAAGCGAGAGCGTCAATCTAGAATCGAACGATTAATTGCTCGGTTTTGTGAATAGAACTCAAATTAATTATCTCCGACTCCCTAGCTTCTTTATCAGTGTTTCATTTCTATTTAGGTAGATTTATGTTTTATGCATTTCTTAGTTGTTATTTAAAACAATTTATCGTGATTAGATTGTCTAGGATTTATTTTTCTTTTATGTGTTATCAACACCATTTATAGATTTCGAACCGCTTTACTCGAGAGACCGAACCGGGGAACGAATCCTTTGATTCGGTACTCGGTAAAAATTTAATTTGTTACAACAACACTCAAGAGGAAGCATTAGGTCTACTCTTGATGAGGGTCTCTAAGATGTCTAAGTTGCGGCCGATGTCGTTGCGAGAATCTTCATCCTGTCTGCCGCTCCATGCCTGGTTTCCAGTGGAGGCAGAGTTGTCATAGAAAAATCTCGATCTCGCTGGTATATATCATTGCTTTTGATGTCTCCCATCAGAAATGTGGGTCTCTTCGAGATTGGATCTGATGGTGTTGATCTGGGCGGTATTTAGGAACAACAAAGAAAACCTCTGGGGTTGTTTGTTTGTAAATTTTTTTAATTCATACTCAAAATATAGCTCAACTTTAACTCAACTTCATTATTCTTAATATTTATCAATATAATTAAATAACATCAAACAGTTATTTTTACACATTACATCAATTTTTATTCATTATTCATCTACTCAAATAATTATTTTATTTTATATATTATTTTAATACTAACTTAAAATTCCATTAACAACTAATCATACTATTTTTTTTTCAAAATTAATTTTAATTAATAAAAAACTCATTTTGAATAGATGTATTTGCATCTAAGCACGCCCTTCTTTCTTTTATATTTAGTGCACGAAATCAACATAACAAACCACAAAAAAAAAAAAAAAAAAAAAAACTCTCCCTTTCCATGTGTGAATGGTCTCAATTGGGCCTTGATACAACAACGTTTTGAACATTAAGTCCAACACACCCCCTTTAGGCCCATTAATTAAGAATTAAAAGTGAGCTCACATAATATAAGCATCCTAGCCCACCATGCCCGTTGTTCTCCGTTCATCATGGGCTTCAATGCATTGCAAGTTTGAAAGTGTCACTCTTCATTCACATATACATATACATATGTTCAGTTTCAATATTTCCAAATATTATTTTATAACCAGAGTTTTTGTGGACAGAACCTGCGAGTCGACTAGGGATCCAATTGACCCAGATCTGGGACCAGTCCATATGGATGCTTCGGACTGGGTGACTTCCGGCCCGATCAACGCGGTCTTCATCCAGTTGTGAAGGATAATTTTATTTAGACATAGTTGTGTCGATTTATTATAATTTGAAAATATTTTATTTTGTAGATAGTGAAAATAAATAAAAAATAAGATACTTAATATTGATATCTAGACTTCGACTAGACGCCGCCTAGGCTCCGTCTCGGCGCTAGGCGCTGGTCGAACGCCTAGGGGGCGCTAGCGCCTTTTAGAAGACTGCTTTATATTTCATCAATGATTGTCCTTATAGCACAGTCACACAATTATCCTTCACAACTCATCACTACTTTGTTTTTTGTCGCATTATTTTATCTAATTAGGCAAAAAAGAATCATTTCAACATGAAGGACGTCATGAATCAATATGGCTAACAATTTTCCCCATAAAAAATAAATCACCAATAGCCACACTTTATTCCTCGTCTATAAATGTCCCATTATATCTTGAAAATTCAATACCCTTTACACAAACTTAATCTCTCTACTTATACACCCGCATAATATGGACACGTCGACGCTGGAGTCACTGAGTGTGGCTGATGCGGTGCCGCCCCCGCCGGCTCAGCCGTCCCCATGGGAGTCGCCTGTGCTGTACCTATTTGGAGTGTTATCTGTAGTTGTGGGGCTTATTGCCTTTGCCATCTTAATTCTGGTCACTTCATACAAGAAGCTGACAGCTGGCAACCTGGACAGACGGTACAATGACGTTGAAGCCAGAGAAAAGTCGGGGCCTCAGTCGACGGAAGAGAAGTATCTGGTGATTATGGCCGGGCAGGAGAAGCCCAGTTTCTTGGCAACGCCGGCGATGTGGAGCTCAAGGGAAGTTGTGTGTAGCAACTGTTAAGAGGAAGTGTGTGGGAACTTGGAGCCCATTAGCATTTTTTTTTTATTTTTATTCTATGACTATA